ATCGTATTAAAAATGTAATAACTTGATTATTTTTTATGTTTGGTTTGCGGCGTATTTCAATTAACTTATTCGTTATTTGTACTATTTTGTTAAATTATTTAATTAAATTATTTATTATATATAAGTTTAACAAATAGTACAAAAATAAAAATATATAAATTATAAAACCATAGTAAATACTGTATAATAACATAGGACTAACACATATAAATTTATTGTTTATAGTCATGCAAAATCGTATTCAAAATGTAATAACTTGATTATTTTTTACGTTTGGTTTGTGGCGTATTTCAATTAACTTATTCGTTATTTGTACTATTTTGTTAAATTATTTAATTAAATTATTTATTATATATAAGTTTAACAAATAGTACAAAAATAAAAATATATAAATTATAAAACCATAGTAAATACTGTATAATAACATAGGACTAACACATTTAAATTTATAGTCATGCAAAATCGTATTCAAAATGTAATAACTTGATTATTTTTTACGTTTGGTTTGTGGCGTATTTCAATTAACTTATTCTTTATTTGTACTATTTTGTTAAATTATTTAATTAAATTATTTATTATATATAAGTTTAACAAATAGTGCAAAAATAAAAAGTATATAAATTACAAAACCATAGTAAATACTGTATAATAACATAGGCCTAACACATTTAAATATTATTTGACTATTTGATTATTTTTTACGTTTGGTTTGCGGCGTATTTCAATTAACTTATTCATTATTTGTACTATTTTGTTAAATTATTTAATTAAATTATATTTATTATATATCATTATATATAATAAATGATAAGAATGTATGGAGTTTTTACTATCTGGCAAACCGACTGAATTAGACAGATGACTATAAACAATAAATATTTAATAAATCAGTGCAAAAACCGAGTATTAAATAAATTGAAATAACTGAGTAAATAAACTGAAATACATCCCAAACAACAGTAACAAGAACGAATAAATTAATTGAAATACGCCGCAATTAACGCACTACATTCACTGAGAGACGCGCTCAGCGTTCCATAGAAATGACCGGCGGCTCAACTTGTCGGCGGCTCAACCGGTCATAATCCGCTACAACACAACAGCTTAAATTAAAGAAATGTACTAGGCCTAGGCTAGGGCCTACTTCTATCTAGAAGGAGGAACAACAAATTTGTGGGGCCGTGTAGGGACTATTAATTAGCCCTGTTATGATTAGTCAGCTCATACAGGCACAGCAGCCTACCCAGCCTAGCCTGCCTAGTTTAGTGCGTAGGCCTAGCCAGGCCCCAACTAGGCTGCCTGTATGTACAGTAACAGTATAGGCCTGGCCTAACCTAGTAGCCTAGCCTATGTATGAATACGTACTACTACTACAGGACGATTTTTAAATATTCTGCAAACACAAAACCTTAATTTAATCAAAAACGTGCAGTTCTTTAGTAGACTAAAGTATATGAATTTGAATAACCAACCTGTTTAGACAATCGTACTGTGAACAGAGTTCGTTTCACATGCTAAGAAAACAACTAGGTCAATGAATGTTGACGTTCCAACTTCAAAGAAGTTTTCGTTCTGCATGAGCAATCACCAATATGTCCAGTTTTTCATGGGAATTTTATGATTATTAGTTTTTTTTTGGTTGGAGTATCACCAATTAGATTTAAGCATCCGAAATCGAATAAGTCACTAGGCCTATTTTTTTTTTTCTTTTTTTTTCTTTTTTTCATTTGCAAATTAGCTTAAATATGCAATTAGTGAGTGGTGACATGCAGGGCAGATTAGGAGACATTAACCCTCCTCCCCAGCCACAGATTACGTTCTAAGAACGTTATAACGTTACGTGTTAGGGGATAAAAACGTTATTTTTATGTACGGATAACCTAATTTCACAACCTCACAACGTTTGAACATTCTTACAACGATGTGTGAACGTTGACATTAGCCACAATTAATTTCGCAAACGTTATAAGAACGTTTTGTGTTTGCTCGGTCCCCGGAAAATAAAAAGAAAATGTAAAGAAAAGGAAATTATAGCATTCAAATCGCCAAAACGGCTGATAGGTTATAAAAAAGAAAACAAATCAATTAGGTATCGATCGGCCCAATTCCTTTTGGACACATTTTTGATTCCCCCCCCCCCCTGCTTTTGACATCCCTACCACTTACAACCCATGCTTTAATTAAATAAAACAAGAAATTAAATACAAGGAATACGTCAAGATTTATATCATCTCTTTTATTAAATCTTTATTAAATCAATTGCACCAGACAACAATATTTTCATGTAAAATAGGCCTATATACAAATGTAAGCGGCAAAGTATGTAAATAATAATATAAGAAATGAATTACTGAACGTAAAAACTTACTAAGCTACAAGTTTTACATAATTATTTTTTATGGAACTATAATTTAATAATGCTATCCGTGCCAAGGTTATACACATTTGCTCTTTATAGTTATTAATTTTGTATTATTATTAAATTAAATTGTTATTATTATTATTATTATTATTATTATTATTATTATTATTATTATTATTAATATTAATATTATTATTATTAATATTATTAATATTATTATTATTATTATT